AATTTGCTGCACACTTTATTTCTTACAATGTTTGAAGTTAAGCACAAAGCTACACAATGGACTATCGGTGCTCTGCTCACCATGGGTATTGAAACCCGGTTTCTAGCATTGTAAGTCCACAGACATGCCACTGGGGGGCTTCTTACAATGTAAAAAAAAATTTCAGAGTACATTTTTTGTTTGTTGTTAAACACAAGTTTACACAATGAGCTATCTGTGCTATGCCCACCAAAGGTAACCAAATCCAGTTTTTAGCATTACAAGCCCTTAGACTTGCCACTGTGGCACTGGTGGGGGGAGGGGGGACATTTTTCATGTACCATGATTGCAAAACTGTTTCCTAAGGCTAACTTTTAAGAATAAATTCTTGCTTTGGCTCAAATATTAAGGTATACAAAGAGCTCTTAGTTTGGCTCTGGATAAAGTAATTTATTTTACTGAATATTTAAATCAAGGTTAGATACATGCAGTTCACAGAATATAGTTACCAGTACATTCATTAACTAGCTGATGTATCTAAAGTCGATTGAAATATGCAATTGTAAGCACATTAGCATACTTCAAACTACTTAGAAACTGTCCAATTTTATGCCTTCAATAGAGGTCTACAATCACAAGGACAAAAATCAGTTTTATTGTACACCTTCCCATAATCTTCAGACATCAGCTGGCCTTCAATTTCAGATAACCATATCTCCAGGTCTTCAACTCCACGGTTAAATTGCAGCTGGGCAGAAGCTTCGTCCAATTTGGTTCCCTTCTTGGAAGTTGCATCTTTCAAGGACTCCCAGAGTTCGATTATTTCGTTCATTCTTTTACTATAATATAAATAAACATTAGTCACTGCTAGTCACCTCAGAGTGTTTTTCCTGTCATATAATCAGTTTGTTCTCTTATCATAACACAAAACACTGGTATAGGTTTAATAATGATTAAACTTTTTTATTAGTCTAAAGAAAGGTTTTATACTTTAAAGAAAATCATTTCAACTGAGTCTCAATATTTTGAATTTACTTAAAGACTATTTTCCAGTACTTGAAAATCTGACTGCATTGTAATATTGTCAATTAAATATGTTCTGCAGAAGCCTGTTAGTTAATTTAAACATATACAGTAAAATATATTTTATGGTATCTGTAATTTAACCCTTTTGCAACAGGCTCAGTATAAAATACCAAGTCCGTATGCACATTTACACTCGTAAAGTATTTATACTAGAACTTTTAAACCATTATGCGTATCTTCACAAAATTTGGTAGACTTTTGGAAAACATTACAAGTCTTTTGTAAACATTGCTAGGTCAAGTGCAAAGTGATTTTCATGTTGAAATTAAAAATATTTTTCTTCATCCCAAAAATCTTGTATTCCATATGAAAAACAAGAAATAAAGTAATTACCTGGACTTTTTCTTATTTGCTGTCAACTGTTGATGACACTTAACCCTACTTTTTTCATACTAATGATATAGTGCACTAAATAATTTTTATTTTATTAAGTAATGCACCAAAAAACATAGAATAATAACACGCAAAAAACAGACAAGATTCCATAACTAACTTTCTAACTATGCAACAAAAGCCATTACAAATTCATCCATGCAAGTCGATATCTTTCCCATGAAAACGAAGCTTGTACTAAAAGAGAAGTTGACAATTCTCTGTTCAGAAGACAACATAATATAATACATCATTTGATAGATGAAAACATTTGTTTTCTATTGGTTAGAAATAATATAATATTAAACATAAAAAACTATTAACAAATCCTGAAAAAGAGGATGTGACAGGTGGGTGTGGCAAGAAGGGTCTGATTTTATATTTGATAGCTCTGTAACCAAACAAGATTGAAGATTATAAAAATTGTTTTGTCTGAGGGATGGCAATCTGGTAGTGAGTAATTTATGATAAATTTCATACTTATTGGAGGAGAGGTGAATAACATACAGAAAAGGGGATACCTAGAAAAAAAAATTTTACATTTTTCAAACTAGGGGAAATACAGAATTTTTTTTTAATATTGTCTTATAAACTCAAGAACTTAAAAATTGTATACTATTAAAAAATAGATTATTAGCTATGATGTTAAGCTATACTAATCGGTATAACATAAATAAAAAGTAGCTTCATTAAGTTTTAAATATAAGTAACTAAAACCTCGTGACATGTGTAGTAAAGGTGCCCGTTGCGAAAGGGTTAACTTTCTAAAAAGTCTCACAAAATGTATTTTACAATCTGAGCAAGGATTGTTTTTTAACAAGTACAGTAAAACTTATTTCATGACCTGAGCAAGTACCTTTTTAAAAAGTCTTAATGTTTATTTCACAATGTTATCAGTTAAATTTTTTAACAAGTCGAGTAAAAACATGTTTCATGATCTGATAAAATACACAGAACAAAATAATTACTTTTATAATCTAAAAAGTACTTTATTACAAAAACTAGTAAAACGTTTTTCACATCCCTAACATGTAAACTGTAACATGTTTCATGAAATACTGTCCACAGTCATATCAGGAACGTATCAAAAAGTCTGATAACTTGTTTCACCAAGCACCACTTCTCTTCAAGTTCAACAATACGTATTGAATGATTCTAAGTAAAAAGCTATAGTTAAGTCTTACAATTTTCCCTCCTTACCCAATATGGTCTGAGGCATAGTGGTTGCTATCAATCAATTCCTGTCCTGTGCTTGTAATTTCATCAATTCTACTTTTGTTGGCATTTAGTTCTTGTTCAAAGTTTTGATGTTTTTGAACCTTGCCATTCAAATTGGTTGGGTCCTGAAAAAACAGATTTATATAATACAATGTATAAAAATATGAGCAGTTATTTTAAGATGTGAGAAAATGTCCAAAACCCATATCTTTTCAATTTGTTACTTTACTTTTTATCATGAAATGAAAGTAACTATAGCAATGAGGTTATACATAAGAAATTATTATAAAGGAAATATGTTTGTCTGTTGTTAAGCACAAAGCTACACAACGGGTTATCTGTGCTCTGCCCACCTTGAGTATCGAAACCTGGTTTTTAGTGTTGTATACCCTTACTGGAATATGTGAATATTTCATTTTTATTTCTATGATATTTCTATAAACGAATGACTAAAACAACTTAAACTTTATAACACAGTCTGCACAATACATTTTTTTTTTCAATCGAATTTTATATTAAGACAGAACTGTATTCAATAAAAATAAAACTTTTAATTTAATCACTTTTATTAAACTTTTCCTTTTCTTGCATGGGTATTTCTTTACAACATGTAGTCTAACCCAATAATTTACAGAATAACGAACTTAGAAAATAATTATCTCTACCAAGTAACTATCATCCAGAGCAGTCTTCAATTTTTCACTGATCCATCCCTTTGTTTCATCACAGTCTCTTTCAAACTGCTGCAGACTGAAAGAATCCTCTAGCATCGATCGTCGGTATGCTGATTTTTCCTGAAGAGCCAGACGTCGTTCAAGCAGCTAAAGTTGATATAGACACAGAAAATGTTTATAAAAAATAATAATAATTGGTAAAAATATATAAGAAACCCTATTACAAGACTTAACTTTAACATTTCAGAAACTACAGTTTATTTATACTGATTCTTTTTAACAACAAAATAAAGTAACTCACAGCAGCCCTTCGTTGGGCAACATCATCAGCAGCATAATGTTGCCCCTCAATGAGTTTAGTGGCAAACTCATCCAGTGCCTATCAAAACAGAAAGCATATTCAGAAAAACATTTTAATAAATGGGTGTTACTATATTTTTACTGTACTTTTATGTATTTTTTACAATAAATATAGTTCTTTTTAATCATGTTCTTTTAACAAAAAATTACATCTTACTAGTATTATTTTATCAGCATCATTATGAGAGCCAATTTTTTTCTTAATAGATTTAAAATATATTAAGGCCAGTACTAATTTCTGAAACAGACCCGAAGTTTAAAATATTATGATTCCACTTTTAAACATATTATTAATCTACACATTATTTCTTGTAGTATATTTAAACACCTAAATAAGCTCTTACTTTGATTTTCTCTTCTTGAGCAGCAAGAGATTTCTCAAAATCCTCGTGTTTTTTTATCAAGGCTTCTACAGAATCCAAAGAATCCCCGAGATCTACATTTGCTAAAAAGGCCTAAGGATAAAAACAAAATGACTTGATAAATTAATGAAAGCTCACATCATCATGTAAATAATTTCATATTATGAAAACAAACAGATCAGTAACAATAAAAGCCAACAACAGAAACTATATTAATTGAGGTCACATGTCATTAGTTACACAAATAAATACTAAATAAAGAAGTATGAACTTGCTAAACAAATATTTCCCGGTAGATACAGCCTATAAGTAGCTCCTTCAGTACACTTAAAAATATGCAATAATGTTAAAGTCCAAGATAAAAAAAATGGCAATGAAAAAAATAATGTATTTTACTTGAAGCTAAAGAAGAAACTTACTTGCAATTAGGAATCCCAGGGTATAAGTAAGGATTGCATGTTTATAAATAAATACACGTTTGGTGTGAAATATAGCACGGTAAATATGGATAAGTAAACTATTTCTTCAAAAAACATTTAAACTTAACAATAATAGTTATATTTTGTAATATTCTATTATTTAAAGTAATTGTAATAACGTAATGTTTATGAAGACACTCCAAACAGCAAATGGAGTAGTGTTATGAGTATCAGCAAATTAGTGAAAAGTTGGTTAATTAACTGGAAGCATCCAACCATTTTTAAATTTTTTCTACCATTACCTAATACCTTTATCAATGGTTCCCAACCTCTGTCCAACTGAGGATCAGCTAGTATTGATCCTAAAATTTCACAGACTGCTTTGTACCATATTACCTTTTTAAAGTACTTTTAAATCACATTGTAAAACAATATATTTCAGTAATTATACTTTAAAAAACAGATTTTTTGAAACCATCTTCTGGACAACTGCCTGTTTATAGACCAGCAGTTTGAAAACACCGACTTAAATGAGTCACAATTCATACAGACACATGACAACTCATCAACATTTGATTCTATAAACTCAGTCTCCAGCCTTAGGCCTAACATGGTGATTTACACTGATAAAATAATTATGAGTGATAAAATTCAGTTTGTTCAGCACAATCATTCCTCTGGAGTGATATGAATTATTTTCCTTGTCTTTCACAGATTCAAAATTACTATATATATATATATATATATTACATGGAGTTTCATAACAAAAATCTTAGAATTAATTATAGGAATGAATGCCCATTTACAGCAATCACTCTATCACTTTGTGGGGGGTATCAATCCACATTTATATTTTAAAAAAATTTAAATGGCGATAGACTCTCTTGAATATTCGAGCTTGGATAAACTAGAGACTGTTTTTAAAGAGTGGAAAAGTTTTTGATGTGTGAAACAATAACCAGAAATTAAGTTAAAATAAAAATGGTTTTAATCTATTATTGATGTGTGAAACAATAACCAGAAATAAAGTTAAAATAAAAATGGTTTTAATCTATTATTGATGTGTGAAACAATAACCAGAAATTAAGTTAAAATAAAAATGGTTTTAATCTATTATTGATGTGTGAAACAATAACCAGAAATTAAGTTAAAATAAAAATGGTTTTAATCTATTATATCTACTTCAATTTTAGTTCCACAAAAAAGTTAGAAATTTGCAACTTTTTGTTTTACGAATTGGCCAACTTCAGTTAAGTTTTATGGCTGATAAACTGATTACAAAATTATTAAACAATTAATTGACACATTCCTAATGAAGAAGGAACTTTTAATTAAATATTAAAAAACATGTTAATATTAAAAGGTTGTAAAAGTATATCAAAGTTTCTAGATTTAAAATTTCTCTACTAAAATTTAAATATTCATTTAAAACAGTTGTTTGTGGGTGTGAATCGCAAAGCTACACAAAGGGATATCAATAGTTTGACCATCATGGGTATCAAAACCTTTTTTTTTGTTTTCAGTTATAAACCCTAAGACAGAAAGAAGAGTACAAAACATTATCAGGTCATGTAGAGTTAGACATCTTCAGTAGGCTTGCCAATAAAATAAAAATGAAAAACAGTTACGTGTGGACTTTTGGTAAGGTTTATTAACCATTCCTCAGATAAACACGATCACAAAAACAAAGACATAATGAGATAACCGTTTTAATCCTAGCTTACCTCTTGTTTAGCCATCCACGTATCTGCTTGTTCTGTGTCACGATAAAACAACTGAAGATCCATACACTGTTCATAGAGAATCCTTCTTTCTTCCCACAGTGACTGCAAACCTTGTTTTTCAAAGTTCAAAGTCACCAGCTAAATTCAAATTGCAGCAGAGAATGTAATGTAAAGCTGCAATTCTTCAGTTTTTTGCAATTTCTATCAACAAGCGAATGTCTAAACATCTTTTGTTTATCATTAATGTTGCACTTATTGAATAGAAATATCAGTTTTTAAATATCACATTCTCACGTCTATTGTATTTACAATTAATAATTTTTACTTCAATTCAAGCTTTCTTTTTATAATTATGTTACAGTTTTATAGCCCACAGTTCGAATCTGAATACTCTCCTTCAAGATGAACTGTAGCTGTTTAACCAGCCAAAAAGTTGTGTTTATACAATGTTACTTCTCATTTTACAATCCTGTAGAATTAGATTTTTTAACATATTCATCAAGCTCATTCCTTCATCTGTGGTTTCAATAGAAGTGAAAATTTCTTAATCCTATCCATTAAAACGTAGGAGCCAAAGACATTACTAATAATGGTACAAAACTAAATTTCTATTTGTTTTTTTTGTTTATAAAGAAGAAAGCAAAACGTTATAATTATATTCTGTAGTCAAAAGTATTTCATTCTACTTTATTTAGAAAACTGTTTATCAATTTATTTATTTAAATTACTAATAAGGTGAGGTTTTATAGAAATGGAAACAAAAAGTAAAATCAAAACTGAAAAAAATGTTAATTAGTTAAGGCTATTCTCCATTTTTTTTTACATTCGTTTTTATCACACCATGAAACAATTTTAAACAAATTATATTTTCAAAAGTTTATAAAAGACTTGCGCTTAAAATAACAAAAATAAAATAGTCTTCCTTACTTTCTCCTTAACTTCATTAACAGCAAAATGATCTTCATCCAGTAACCTCTGACCAGCTTCCACAGTGCCACGAAAACTGTCTTGTCTAGCATCAATCTCTCCCTTAAAGTAAAGACATTTATCTCTGAGAACACAATTAAAATAGTCCAAAAAACATCATCCGTGTGTTTTATCTCTATTTCAATCTGTTAAATATTTCACTTTCCATAATAAACAAGAGCTTATAGATGCTTTTAAAAAGTAATGAATTTTTTTCATATTTAAAAATAACTATTAACATATTTCATAACACTGATTAACATCCACTTTTAACAGAAAAAAATATAATTAAGTTATTTCAATGAGTAAATTCTGAGCACAATTAACATAATGATGCAAGTTATGTTAACTTCTCCACAAAATAACACAAACTCTTGCATGGTTATAACTATTTTAATTATGTTAGAAACACAAATACTTACTGACATCGACACACAAGCCAATACTTTCATTTTTCCAAAACAGCCTAGTAATTCAGTCGTTTTTCAAGATAAAATAAACACGTAAAAGATATCAATAAAATCTAATGGTGCTAGTGTTAGAAAATGCATTTAGGGCTAAGTTAAACAAATATTTCAAATTACCCTGTGTTCTTGGTGTCTCTCTAGTAGTGCTTCAGCTCCAGCTACATCTTTAGCAAGTTCATCAGCCGAAATGATGCTTTTCATGTCATTGATCCAAGAAACAAGATCTCTGAAATCTGCCAGAAAACGATGTAAGTAATACGATTCATCCAGTCGCTGACGTCGTTCTTGACCCTGTGAAATAGTTATATAAATGTATAAATATTTTTATGTTGTGTTTTTTGGGGAAATAAAAAAATTTCCTAAGGTCTCTTTTATATATATTCTTTTCTAAAATTAGATTTCTGAATAATAAATTTAATTTATCACACCTGTTTGATGATCGCATCACTTATTTTAAAACATTAGATTCTTATATTAAAGGTATGTGAATTTTGTTTCAAGAAAACAACCAGTGCAAAATTTAATTAAATTTATATGAATAATTTTTAAAATGTATTGACAAGTACTTCATTCAATTTTGCAATAAAACTTCACAAATTACACAAAAAATGAACTTTTAGTTCTAAAAATAAAAAAAACTAAATTACCTAAAATAGTTTTCTGGTTAATATCTAGCAAATACATATTTTTTTTTTACATCATGACAAGAGAGATAAGATCTTCTCCATTTTTCCAAAATTGTTTTGATAAAATAATTTTAAAAGTATCTATAAAAACTACTTTAACAATTCTATCTTTAGTTTGTTAATACATTACGTTTTGATACCTTAGCCTTGAGCATCTCCCAGTTGGACACTATTTCTGAGTGTTTGGATTGTATTTGGTCTGCGTGGTCTTCGTGATTGGCACAGAGTCGTTCAGCTTCTTGCCCAATTGTCATCACCTTGGACAAAAAAAAGAGTATCAAGTAATTATTAACTTATCTTTAGAAATCAAATTCCCCAAATAAGACAAAGACAAATGCTTGAAAATACAGAAAGCCTAAATACAAAATGATAAAAACCCTATAACCAGAGCATTTTCGAAAGATGGACCTTTCTTCTTCAGGGCTAAACTGGGAATAGCCAGAAAGCTTAAATATAGCTTGCATAGTTGCATACTTGACTTACACCAAACTATTTTTAATATCATAAAATTCTAACACGTAGAAATTTATGTACATAAAGTCATTTGTCGTGAGAGTTCAGCAATCAATAAAGCTTTATTCTAAGTACGATCAAGAAGTCTGATGAACAAACCTTATCTTCCAAGGCCGCCAAATCTCTCTCAATCCCTTCATGTTTTCGTTGAAGTGTTTGGACGCTGACCAGATCCCGACCATACTCATCAGAAGAGAGTACCAAGTCCTTCTCTGTGATCCAAGCAATTGTTTCATCTGCATCTCTGATGAGTAGCAAACATTAACATACTGATGATGACAAAACCTTGTCGAAACGTTGTACATTTGCTGTTATGTTAAACTTATATTAAAGTTTTTCTTCATTACCTATTCAAGCCATCTCCAGCCATTATCAACATACTGTATTTTTAATATGGACTTGGTACAATACTTTTACAGTGGCTAAAATGTTGCCCCAAAATGTTTATAACAAAGTTTTAAGTATATATCTAAACAACAAAGATTATTTTATTCTATTTTCACCTGAACCAATGTACTTTTTTAATGCTTCTGAACACCAAAATTTAACAGAAATTATAATATTTAGCTCAATCTTAATTGAGAGTAACAAACAAAAGCCACACAGTTACTCGAGCAACCAACTTCAACCTAACAGATTGTATGAAACACCCTTACTCCCATAGGCAACAGCAGCTCATCACAAAACCATACTGAATGATTTCAGTAATTATCTTTGAAAAGCAATCCCAAATACCAATATTAACTTCAAATCAAGGTTGTTGTTTTTTTAACTTTGGTCTAAAGCTAACCAATACGTAAGACAAAATAGTCTGGATAAAACTAATTTGAGAAACTTTAAGATAACATAATGTTCAGGGACAACAAGGGACCTATTGGCCCATCTCGACTGTCCCATCCTGTAAAGTAAACTAAAACTATCAACTAAATAAATTAAAAAATATATAAAATAAAAATATTAAAGCCAGCACTTATCACAATGTTATCATGACCTTAACTAAGTTTCTAGACCTAACACAATGAACTTTATATAAAACTCATCTCTCAACACTAAGGTACTTAAAATACATAAAACAGTGACCAATTTTCAAAAGTTGACATGCACTCAATATTTAGTCAGCCCATTCTGAATCTGAATAAAATTAAAGAATTTTTTAAAAATTATGATTTAAATGTTTATTCAATAATTTATTTAAAATCAGATTTCATGCTACAATACATAGGGTATTTAAAATACTTTCCCAAGCTTACACAAGGAAGTCTGTCTATCAATACTTTATGTATTGTCCACATTTCTACAATTTAGAATAAAATACAAGTTCCTGAAACATAACAAATTTTTTATAAGAGCAGAGAGAGATCTTTGCGATAGGAAATACATTATTGTTTATGTATTTTTTTTATGATAATTACCTGTTAAAGCGTTGAATTTCATGTGCTCCAAACAACTTTTCTTGACGCAGAAGTGTCAATGCTTTCAGTCTCTGCCATGCATCATGCAATTCCTGAATAAATGACAACATTTCACTGACCAATACTTGAAATAATACAATAGAACAATATACTGCTACACAACTATTCAGCCTTTGAATACTGATGTTACTTTTTTCCTGTTCAACAAAAGCTCACATAATAACATGCACTGTCATCCTTTAGGGTTGGATGCTGTGCTAAAAGTTTTGGTTTGTTCTGAATTTCATACAAAGCTACACGAGGGTTATCTGTACTAGCCATCCGTAATTTAGCAGTGAGAGACTAGAGGGAAGGCAGTTAATCATCACCACCCACTGCCAACTCTTGAGCTACTCTTTTAGCAATAAATAGTGGAATTGACTATCACATTATAACATCCCCATGGCTGAAAGAACAAGTATGTTTGGTGAGACGGGGATTCGAACCCGCAACCCTCAGATTGCAAGTCGAGCTCCCTAACCACCGGGCCATGCCAGGCCTAGCTATGCTAATAGTCAGACATAATTAAAACAGCTCAAAGACCATATAATACAATGGAAAACAAATAAGCAGACAGATTTTGGTTCATGGAGTAATCTTCACAAGATTAAAAGTTTCTACTAAGTGTGATGCCAAAGTAAATATAAAATAATGCATGGTACTAATATGCAATATATATATACACATACATAAATACACAAGCAACAGTTAACGTCAAATCACACAAACACTTGGATACACACAATTATACAACACACACAGAGAACAACAAGCACCAAACATTAACTCTTGCCCCATTCTTATAAATTTTTGGAAGTTTACACAAAAATAAACTATGTTTACAAAAACGTGTTTTTGTAAGACTCAAGCTGAAGGAGTTATTGAATAAATTACAAAATTAAAAAAGTGTTAGGATTTAACTAATGGCTACACAAGTTATTTTGGATTATACTTACCTCCTTCTTCTTCTGGATCACAGCTTCATCCGGATGACCTTCCTTGATAAGACCGTCCCCAAGTTCATTCACTTCACTAACTCGAAACTCCTGGCTTGCCATGTCCTGTTGACGTAAATATGCAATAAATTACATTAGTAAATCCATTAAACTTTAAAGCGGTACCACTTCTTTCTGAGAATAGATATGGACGACTAAAACATAATTCATAAAACTTTGGTTTTGAAGATTTAAATAACAAAACAAGTGTTTCCAATCTACTTTGTTTTGTTGCAACCAAGTTTCCCAAGTCACTAAAACCTAAAAAACACATTTTATTTTCAGGTTTTACAAAACTAATCATCATTTCACGTTACATTAATCATATAACATTCAGTTACCTTCTGGAACTCATCAAATTTTCGCTGTAGTACTTGAACATGTTCAAGATCCAGACCAAATTCTTCTGTTGTAACAAAAGTTTCCTACAAAAACAGAAATAATGATATTTCATGATACTTTACACACTATATAATCACATTTTGTGATAACATTATTATTAGATAACATTAACAAATATATTCAAAATTTGACTTAACAAATATGATCACATTTTGTACTTTGTATTAAATTATATTAAAAAATATCAAAATCAGCTTTACCATTTGTTTTAGAAACGCTTTTGTCAAAAACTTGTTAAAGTATTTTAATAAAATTTCTTGAATAAAAATCCTGTTTTCCAAATAAAATACTTAACTAGTTTTCAACACATGCTTTATAATGTTTTGTATTGAACTGATAATGGATGTGACTAAACACTAATCACAGCTCAAAATTTTTAAATTACACAGTTTAAAAAAAACATGAACTCAGGACAATGATCAGCTGTGATTTAGGATAGAGCATGAGACTTGATTTCAGACACGTATAGATTAGCACATGTAAATACTTCTCGGCACTTTGCATTATTATTAAGGTTTAAATACTATTATCTTTCACACACATATAGATTAGCACATGTAAATACTTCTTGGCACTTTGCATTATTATTAAGGCTTAAATACTATTAACACAGATTGATCATTTTGATGGTTTCACTAAAATGTTACAAGATTTTTTAAACAGAAATATTCTTATACAGATAAATACATATTATTAAACATTCTTAACAAAATAAAACAACAGGTCGTCAGGAAGAGATAGTTTCAAAGAAAATGTTAAGTTCTTTATGTAGCCTCCCACATGTTTATTAACCCTAGAATTAACATGAACTCCCACCAGTATTTTTAAACACGTTTTTCTAAATCATTAACGCACTATGTGGGACCATCATAACTTTGTTGGTTGTAGTATCACCAATATGAGTCTCTTGAAATAATTTACACAATTACCATCAATAATTCAATTTATCTGACAAATTACTGGTGGGTGCCCAATGCATTTCACACAGAAAATGAGTAATTTTTATGGGAAGATTTTTCCGAGAGCCTTATACTGAGCATTTTTAATAACCAAAAAAAAACAAAACAAAAACAACTCAATGTAGTATATGGATACCACTGTTAGGGAACGGTATAAGAAATTAAAACCATTTTACTTAAGATATTTCCAAAAAAATAAGAGTTTGTCAGCTCGAGACTTACTTTATCATTGATCCAGAACATGACTTCGTCACACTGTCTGAGGAATTGAACCAACTGTAAAGCTTGGTGCAACTTTAGACCTTTTTCAGAAAGCCTTGATAACAAGAGCTCCCACAGTGCATGTAGCTCTTCCAGTCGTTTCTATTGTTATGTAACATAAGAAAAACTTTAAAAAATAGCCTCTTTACCGTGAAATTATTAAATTGGAACCTTTTTTTGTTTGGTCCTTAATCTAATGTTACCTTAAAAGTTATTTTTATGAAAACTATACAATTAGCAACTGTCATTTTTCTTTTGTTCAAATACTTTTTTGCTTAATAACACCAATCCATAAAAATCAAAATTTGTTTTCCAATTAAAAACCCTTTAAAATATGATAGTGTTATGCATTAAGGTATTCTAAATGAAATAAGTTACAGAATATAATAATCAAGAATCAAAATTATACATGTACATAAATGAACAAAAAGACAACAGCCCTTACAAAAAAAAAATCAAAACAAATATCAGATGAATTACCCAGGAGGTTTCCAGAACTTAAGAATGATATATTGTAGAAGATGACCCTACTAAAAAGGCCACTCGCGCGAGGAATATGAAGAACATGAAAATCATTAACATTGTGTTAATTTCTGTGTGCATCAGCAAGAACCCAAATATCGGGAGATGACACAAGGATTCAAAAACTTAATCATCTAACATAAAATAGAAACCACATGAATAACAGAAACTGGATCAAGATTTAAAATAGTACACACCAAAGAAAAATATTAAATAAGACCATCAGAAATACAATAGGAATAGCAGACAAATCCTGCTCCAGTTAAAGAAGGTGAATATGCCTGCACAAAGTCCAGGCTTCTTTATCAACATGAGAAGAAAAAAAAAATGATGACAAATCAACTGAGCATTATGTGATTATGAAACCCGACTGGTACATCAACAAATGATAAGCATTAAAAACCATAATACATTGATCAATGAGAGCTCACAATACAGCTAATGGGAAGTTCCAGCACACTGGAAGAAATCTGTGTGAACAAAGCCTTCAGAAACTTTCAAGGAGTTGTAGAATTTTGGGAAGAAACAAAAGTGTTAACATCAAGCCTAACATTAATATCAGAATTCATGTAGAACATATTGAGGCAGGAAATTTACAAAACAACTATCAACAATGTGGCTTTTAGTGGGAAACTGGAGCATATGCAGTTTCCCTGGTGTTTCCACAAATCACATGGAAGGCAGGATAGTGGAGAAGTTTGGGTTAGGTGACAGATGTAATGCAGTGCATCAAGGACATTCCGAACCAAAAGTCATGTGGTTGTTAACAGAGCGAGAACGACTCAAAAAGGGTTACATTATTTCACAAGCAAGTCTACCTGATTTGAATTTACTAGTTCCCCTGTTTGTTTATTTTGTTTACTATTGCAGTTCCATTTAACTTAAAGAAAACTCCTGCTTGTAATCTAAAACTAATGGTATCTTACAGTGGACTTTGTTCGAGCTTGAACTTAGTAATTATGAAGGATTACAGAAGTAACTTTTATAAATAAATATAGTGAGCTAAATATTATCTACATTTTTATTAGTTTTAATGAGATGAAATGAATTTGATTACATCATTTCTTTCAACAAATTATGTAATGGATGACATCATTAGGCCTGTGATTGTATTTTATTATTAAATGTGTGAAACATGGCTTTCAAGTCAATCGTTACAGGCATGTTGTGTAACAGCATACTATACAATTACGTTACATAGTGCTTACTGTTTTATTTTAATGTGTCAGTGTTTTATGTATACTGGCATGGATTCTTCTACAGTAGGTGTCTGTGATTTGTTGGTGATAAATTCGAACAATAAGCGAACAGCACACAATCCACTTGTTTCAAAATAATGTATTCAAAACAAGTCAAACTATGTACAAAAATTCTTTACACTATAGATATGACAGTTGTATCTCAAACTCTTAGGCAGATCTAATTACTTTAGAATCCAAATGACAAGATAAACTATTTTTCTCGGCTCTTATCATAATGGAAAACTTGCAAAAAAATATAATTTAGGTTCATAAATGTTCATTGGTTATCATGCTTTATATTTGAAGTGTTTCAAAACAATTTTCAATTCTCTGCTATTAATTTTGATTAATATAAATAAACATGTGACTTTAGTCATACCACAAGCCTGAAAAGGGTTAATAGTTATCAAAGTTATCCGGGAATATCAAAAGCAAAACAAATGTAGAAAAAATAAGTCTTAGCTATTTCAAGACAAACTTGGCTAGTTCGTGAAATCAATTTCTTTAATCATGATTGTTTAGCCACCATTCTAACATTTGCTAATATGGTGAAATATTAACTGAATATTAATTATATCTTTGTGAAAATAAAAAAACATCACCAAGTCTGTAATACAAAACTACATAACTAAATATGAAAACAAAACCTACAGCCACAAATATGAGTAAGATGTTATTCTTATTTCATTTCCCTTTAATTTAAAACTTACAATTCATAAATATGTAACACGATTACCTTGATTATTTCAGAGGCAAAGTGGTTCCTGTTAATCATTTCCATTCCACTAGAGTCCAACACTAGAACTGCATTCCCATGAGCAGCAACCTCTGCTTCAAATGCTTGATGTTTTTGGATCTTTGCCTACAACAAAAGTTATGTTTAAGTTAAACAATTAAAGAATAAAAAATGTAAAAAAGTTTTTACTTGTAATTAGCAGAAGATTTATTATATTCTGTTATTCAAGCATACATCCAGCAAAACTCAAAACTTATTAACCATGAAATACTCAGAAAACTTCACTTTACGTGTAACTGGTACACGATGTAACCAAATGTTGTTAGAGCATCAATGGGCTGCACAAAGGTTTTTTTTTTTACTTGACAGTGCAATGTCTGACATTGGATAACCACTTCTGAACATAATGTTTTGGCTTAAAAAAGCCTTACAGTTTTATCAGCAACAATCCCAATGAGATCTGTTCAAATTTGTTTATAGAACAAATGAACCCATACGATACGTCAAGTAAACCGAGTCGAAAACAGTTGTTTCTTCTGGACATTCAAAAATGGATAAAAATGCTGATCAAGTGTGTACTATAGGACTAATCTTTGTGCCTGCTACCCCTTAGTTAAAATGTAAAGTTTTTCAAAATTAGTGTTGTCTTTCAGAGTTCTTAGATTAAATGCCCAGATTTGTTCATGTAATGTTTTCCATTTTCAAAAGAAGGCAAGATGTGGTTTCACTAATTAGCAATTAACCAACTTTCTCCTAGGGAAGATGGCATATGACATCGAGAAAGAGAAAGTCATCTTTCCTGTCAGCAAATCGCATAAGGATCAGGAGCACCCACAATATAGAGCTCAACTTTCAGGGGACACAGATCTATAGTGTGAGATGCATTTTGTGTGCAAATTTGGCTTTATTTATGTGTTGTTTTTTTGTATTTGAAGTTATGTTTGTCCCTGTAAGATAAATATTTGGAAGATTTAAGATTTATTTCTTGACAAAGGTAAGAAATTATTAGAGCACATTGTTTTCAGCTTAAACATTTGGCTAGCTTTTCTTTAGGTTTAATCTTCACTTTTGGCTTTAGATTTTTAAAAACTTTTCACATTTTAATCCAATGTTAATGTTTAGTTCTACTTTAACTTGAGTCTTGTTAGTGATTTACCTCAACTTAAATTCTTTGAAATATAAATTTTTTTAAACTTGGTTTTGGACTTATTTCAACAGTAGCATAACGTTTGGTTCTTTTGAAAACATATTAGGGGTTAGCTTATGTTAAAGTAAGGAGATGTTTGTTTAATTTATAGGGGGAACACCCCCAAACTGATAATAGTTTTTTGAAGTCTTCATCTCACTCTTAATATTTCAACATCCACCACTAGAATCTTGCCCTTGTTTAGTTTTTTTTATTATTATTACATTGTGACTGTGTAATTTAAGAAAAAAACGTTTGTAATCTTATGAAACTATTGATCTTGACTCTTTCTCCGAGACAGTTTCAGTTGTAGATCAGAAAAGCAATATATTCCAGGGTGCAGTATTCTTTGAACCTCCAGCTAGCTGGCCTAACTGACTGCTCGGAAGAAACCCAAATTGTCTGGAATACCACAAGATTTAAATAGGTGCCAGTATTTTACACCATCACTAAACAGGTGACAGTATGCCACTGTCACAAAATAGGTGCTGGTATGATGTACTGTCAAATAACAGATGCTGGTATGCTGAAGTCACAAAATAAATGCTAGCATACTGTGCTGTCACAAAGTTAGTGGTGCCAACATGCCATACTGTCACATATGGACCCACTCGAAGCACTAAACATAACAATAGACTGCAGAATTTCAACTTTTCTAAATGAAATCTAATATTATAAACATAAAACACTGTATACAGTGCATATGGTTACATTTTGTTACAGACAGATTGGTTATGAAAATACCAAATTTTTTTTACATCTATGTTTCAAACATATCGACACAAAATAAGCTAAGACACGTAAAGCATGAGTGGCAAATTAAAATGAGATTCTATAATGTAAAACTGCTTTCCAGAAAAAAGGAAGAAATTTTTTGCAAATTTTGACAAAACAATTACACAGACTGAAAACAAATCATAGAGTATTCACTCGATGATAAAATAATATTTTACATTTTGGCCTCACCAGTAGCATGCCAGTGAAAAAAAACAGAAACTTACTTTCAGAAATAAATAAAATACAAACACAAACACTAACAGACAGACAGATATAGTTGTAAGCAGTGCAATAATTATTCTTGTATATATCTTTTTTTTTAATGTTATTTCTTACAAAAAATTAATTACTGACAGATATTCCGTACCTGTAGATTTGTCGGATCTTTGTAATTTTCATCAGAAGCAACTTGTAGTTTTTCAATAATCCAGGATTCCAATTCATCTGCATCCCGTTTGAAATACTGGAAACATCTGGCATCTTCAAGTTTTTGACGCTTAACTCGAGCCTCCTGTTTAAACTGTGTATAATAGTTAAGAACTTGCTCTCTCCTCTCTTGTATATCCTCTACACTGTCCAAAACTTTAATATCCCGAGGTTGAACATCCATCTTTACTTGATCTTCGACAAGAACTGTAAAAAAAAATATATAATAATAAACAGTAGCTTATTAAGAACTAATAATATTGTAGCTTTTGAGTTTCTAAATATATACATACTTTTAATAAACTATAGTATCAAAGTATGTAAAAGTACAACAATAGCTACACAAGTAAGGAAAAAATAATTTGACTGCTATAAGCCAATGAAAATTCCATGTTTTAAAAACTAAACAGTCTTCATTAATTCTTGACCTAATTCACATATATATAAGTATGGTAATAGTTATTCTAAAATTTGGAGAATTTTAATTACTTTTCCCTGTACTAACCAACCATGCCAGAAATACAAAACTTGAAAATAGAAATTTTTAAATAAGAGTACACTTCATTAATATTAGATGTGACAAAATATATCAAAAATGAAACCATTTGATGGAAAGCTTTGATCAAACAGGGAAACAGTACTTTACATTCACAACAGGATATTGAAGGTGGGCTATTTGGGAGATAAGACCACAAGAAAAAGGAAGATGGCAAGGACATGGCTTACCAAGATTACTCCTAAACATTATTAGAGCTTTTCATCACAGCTAAATGTTCAGAAGAGGGTTTCACTAACAGTTATGTACAATTTCATCTCTTTGTTCACAACACCAATGCTCCTCTTACATCAGAAGTTTTATCCTCCCCAAATATTCCTATTCCAAATGAATAGCTTTATGCTTCCAAATATTCAAATTCATCACCAACATTCTGACCCAATCATGAAAACATTCAAGTTTCTTTTCAATAAAATAAGCATGCTCAAGAGAGACAGACACTACTAACAGTTCAGTATCATCAGTAAATTCATAAATATTGCTTTTCACTAAACTATGCAAATCATTAATACAAATAATGAACAACAGAAATTCCAAAACATATCAGTGAATTTTCAAAGTTGGCAAAATCACCATTTATTTACATTTTTTAATAACTAAGTCAAATTTCTAAATACTTCTCAATCTCATACACATGCAACTGAATAATCCATCTCTCTTGAAATATTTTATCAAACACTTTCTTAAAGTCCAGGTAAACAGCAAATCCCTTATCAAATAAATTGATACGGCAAGAAAACCTGGCAATCTTCCAATCATAAGAGAAATTTCTCCAATATCAGAAGGCTTCTGAACACCAAGTCACCATTATTAAGTTTCTTGAAGATTTTAGAATAAATCTCATCAGGGTGAAGAACACTGTTCTGAGGAACCAGCTGCTACTTCTCCATAAATAGAATTCAAATAAAAATCCTCTAATTTATCATAGAGAGAGAGAAAAAAAAGAAGTTAATTTGGCAACCTCTTTATCAGTAAAAACAAAGGTCTTCAAGGAAATATCTTACATGTAGCCTATCTAGGCCTTAACAATTTAAACAAGCCACTGTGTTTCTTTACTTAATAACAAATTTAAACTATTTGACACTTTCCCTATAGATCAACTTTTCTAAGTTAAGTAAAACCTAGGTTCATTTAATCCTTAATCACACCTTTCTCAACAGATAGATATCCTTCTTATAATGAGGATACCAAAACTAAGTCAACAACTTCAGACTAAGTCTAACCACCTAAACCAGTCTTCTTTAAAGTGACAATAATCTTCTAAACTTCTGTACAGACTCCAGAACCCTGTTAACTGTAGTCAACCCAACCGAACAGTACAGAAAAAATGTATACAATTATAATGAAATTCAAGATGACAGCTACAAACTAAGTTTTAAAGCCAACAGTCTACTACACTGTTTATCAAATAATGGTATGACTAAAAGAATGTACATTTTAAAACAACTTATCATGAATGAAATTACATCATTTGTTAATACATCCTTATTCATGAAAATTAATATATGTAACAGTAACCTAAAATGATTACCACTACTAAATGGCTCACCCACTCAAACACACACTTTTTTTTTGGCTGCACAAGTCTACCATGCACATGTAAATTACACCCACATGCCTTGAGAAACAGGCTACAACGGAATGACTCATCCATTTATCAGAGCTACAAGAGCTAAACAGTAAGTACATGTTTGGATGACTTGAAGAGTTCACTAATGAAGACTTAACTTTTGTTACTTTAGGATAAAACTGGTACAGTGTTACTCTAACTTATGCAAAATTTTACTACAACTTGTCAGTAAATGAAGAATTCTTTACCCATTACGACCTCACACTCAAAGCCTTTCTGTTTTCAGTTCTTCTACACTCCAGAGAAAACAAGTTCAAAATTTTTGAGTCTTTCTTTGTAGCTTAAATATTTTAAACCAATTACTTAAAACATTTTCAAACAAACCAACATCTATAATAAGGGAGACAAAACTGAACACACAACTCCAAATATGGCATTATCAAATTTTTATACTGTGAGATAGAATCTTACCACTTCTGAAACCCAACTTTCTCTAGAAAAAGAAATCTCCAAACCCGCGAGGTATAAAAACTGTTAGGGTTTGGACAGTCTTCCTGAAGGTGTTCTGTTTGAGTGATGGAATAAAAAGGCAAGAATGCCAAGTTGGGTTTTGGGGTTGCAGATGCTAATTTGTTCACCAAAATGTTTTAAAATTAATTATAAACTTGTGAAATTATTTGACACTGTAATTAATTTTTTATTGGTCACTGAACACTTGCTCTACCACTTGTACTGAACTATCACAGTAACATGTCAAACTAGAGGGGCACTTAGTAGATTGCATACCTCTGCCATGAGGCATTGATCATATTCAGCTCTCAAAACAATATTATAATGTGTCTGTATGTCCATCATTATCAACGGACATGGGCCATTTTTGGGTAGGACAATGAGGAATAATAATCTACTTATGGCCACCAAGTTTCATTAAAATCCAATCATTTTTGCCTGAGTTATAGAGCAAAAATAGTGTGAAAAATCAGTCACCATGACCCTCCAAAACTCGTCACTTCTAACAGGGGGTGAAATTCTCAAAACAAAGTAGAGGTATTCAGCTGGGTGAAGTGGACCCCTTTTTGAAAAAGGAAAAAAAATCTATGTGTAAACATAAAAAACAACAAAGCAGCTCAAATAGGTCCCGGTACTAGTAGCATCTTAAAAACTAAGTACCAAGTTTATTAACTGATTACACTAATTGATGTCATGGAAAAAAAATGATTAATCAAAATTAGTGATTCTGATGATTCCAACTATCCAAGTATTAACAACTTCTCACATAATAAAAGTGTATGTTTACTTATATATACATTATATTTTCAGCTTGTAACAGGTTTCATGCTACGATGCATATATGATACATGTTCATGTAAAACAATCTAGGATTAAAAAGTGACTTAAACCTAAATTGGTGTAACTGAATATGTCTATCATATCAAACCAAGGGTAGTTCAAAAATGTCTTTGACAAAATAAAATGGTGAAAATAGGAAGGTTACTTTAATGTGAGCATAACTGATTAGTTGATCGTAAATTCCACTAACTGCCCTGATCTAGTTTTGAGTATTTCTTTTTTGTGGGTGAATACTGACTTTCGTGAGCCACACGCCTTGTGTAACATTGCTCATGTTCCTATTTATCAATGCCATTGTAGACTATTTATACTAAAATAAAAAAGTTTAAACAATAAACTTACTGTATTTCACTATATCAGCTATTATATATAACTGACCATAAATATTTAAATCTGATTTCCATGAGCACAGCTACAAAATTATAGTATGAAAACTAAATTCTAAATTGTTTAAATATGTGTGTGAAAGTAAAGAAGAGTGTATAATAATATATCAACCACACTATATCTGCTTTAACCATTACCGATGAGGCCTTTTACCCAAAATAAAGCTTATGGGACAAGCCAAGATATGACAAATACAGTCGTGGTTGAAATGGTATTTATACTATCAAATTGTACAAAAAAGTACTGTTCTGGTGTGGACTAGATTAAACTGAGGAAATGTAGTTTTTATCAAATTTTACAAGTCACTTAGCAAAAAGAATAGGGTACAGGTTAACAACACAATATCAGTTATTATCTTTCTTTTAATTGAATTAACTTTACTCAACAGACAGATGAGCTAGTAAAACAGCCTCACTTTAAATAAATTATAAACTCAGATCAATTTCATTCTTAAAAATTACACGTACAGATTATTTGAATTTAGGATTTTCACATAGTAACTTTTATTTTTAAAAATATTTAGAAAGCTGGATTCTTAAGCACTTATTAACCAGAATTATACATAATTTATTACTCCTACTATTATTACGTAGCATTATTAATATTATCTTCGTATAATACTATTATCTAAGTAAACTACGTTGTTTACTTAGTTATTTCAAGCCTAAGTTATTTTAATTAGTACTCAGTAGTAGTACTATTCATTTAAGCTTAAAGCCATTAGAAATAGCAAAATTCGAGTTACGGGACTTATACGATATATGAATTGAATATTTAATAACTTTTAGGGAAGTATTTACAGTAAATTAATATGCACATCAAAAATATAAATTTGTAAGCATTAAAATAAAATCTCTAGAATTTAGTAGAAATAAAACCTAGACTCACTATATTGTCAACAAGTACTTCCGCAACCGGTAGGTCAACGCCCAATTTTTGCATTCGTCAACAAAAAGTGCCTTGGGCTTGGCTTCTTTCCGTGAACGACTGTACTAGAGGGAGAGTGTATCAAAGGAAGACACAATATTTTTATATATATATTACATTTTTTGGTATAATTTTAAACACGAGTACAATAAGATCGAAGAAAGATATTTTCCTAAAAATACTTCACATATAATTGATATTTACTGTAATCCATTCTATAAACCTCAATAATACGTAAACGATTAAGGGAAAGATACTTTTTTACACATTTTTTCATAATACCAAATTGCGATTTATTAAATCATGAAGAGCATCTATAAAGCAGTTAAATAAATTATTCCCAGTATCGGCGTTAGCTTTTTCTAGGACATGAATAAAACTAAAATAAAAGGACATTATTGAAATTTGAAATAAAGTAGAGTGTCCTTTACTGTTATTGCGCAGATATAGAATAATAACAATAAATAATTCACGCCGTTGCCAAAGTATTTATAACTGGCAATTGTCTTGTAACTCACTCCTGAGTATGACGTTGTAACGTCGAAACATGTAGAGTCGTCAACTTTTTTAAAGGCCATAAATAGGCCTTAATAAAATGTTTTTAATTGTGTACCAGTTTAACATTGAATACTATTTATGATTTTAACTTTATTCACAAGTGCCAAAATACTACAATTAAGATTGCACTTTCTACTGCACAATGTAAATTAAGCTTAATAATAATTCAAAATAAATCTGTATTTTTTACTTAAAAACTTATATCGATACATCAGAATGCTTGTTTTAGACATTTTTTTAGATCCGAAAACTTCAATAATTTCTGAATAATTTATAACATTTAATTTTCTAAAGACATATTTTAAAATTCAAGAAAATATATTTGTTTTTATTATGCTTTTTTGAATTTTTATGCCTTAATTGAACCAACTACTGCTAGGTAGCGCTCGACAGTTGGTAGCCATGTGCGCTACACAATTAGTTAGTAGAAATAGTGATAATATGGTGGTCGATACTATTTTCCTGATTTATTTAAATTAGTTAATTATGGTCAGACGTGAAAATTACACTATTTATTTACCAATTATCATTCTTTAAAAGTATTTGATTATGGATCAGTTGTTCATTATAAACAGGTAAGGTTCATACCTTAAAAGCTTAATTCTTATTAAACCATGCAAAATAAGATGTATAGTTTTTTTATACACCTTCGTAACACGATTAATATAAAAATATTACTAATACTATGAATAGCATGATTTCGTTCAAGTGTGTAAAAATTAAAAGCTCAATTATTGTTATTAGCATTCATCCGAATTATAATCTGACGGGAGTAAAGATATTACTTTCAGTTTTTCGTAGCAATACTATTACTATTACTTTAGTATTAATAATATGATGATAAAAAATGGTGTCGGCTAAATAGGATATTACTATTAGCGAAAGGCCTCGTCGGCACTGGATATAGCACTAGCAGGTACAGTGTTGTTGACGTATTGTTATATATTCTTCCTTGCTTTCCCCAGAGGTTCCTACAATAAAAACATAGTCAAAACTCAGTATCAAATTATGCGCATTTCTAAAATGCAGACACTCCATGAAAAGAGGCTAATTTAAATGATAAATCAGAAGATAACATCAGCTGTTCAATTCTATATTAACCTAAGCTTCTCAGATTCAATTCTCAAACAAGATTTTAAAACTTTGGGTAAAATATTCTTTGAAATTGGTTTATCAAATTATTCGCAGTTGCTTGTAACTTGTTAAATTCTCAAACAAGTATATGGCAATATAAATGTTATTGCTGCTAAGCCAATTATTATCTAAGTACATGTTGTATAGTACATAAAATGTACAAGAGTGTAACTGTCATAATAATAATATTTCATTTATTACATCAGTACATGAAATGTTTGAAAGGAGTATACTGTGAAATTTGTAACGGCTGTAGTGCTAGCAGAGAATATAATTTATGATTGAATGTGACACTTCATAGAATAGTGAATTTGACATTCTATGACTAAGAGTGTAATAAATATTCAAAATATAAACTTACAATTTGATGGTAATATCAGTCATTTTCTTATTATTTAAAATAAGTGTGACAGGCTAATATTTATAAATAACATTCAATACATAAAGTATTTCAAATGGTTATTTTATTTTGAACCACAAGCTTCTTTAATGATAAATGTATAATCAATGAATAAACTAAATTGCTATCATTTTCATGTTTGGAGGATCAGGGATAAAATGGATGAGTTGAGGGATTTAGTTGGAATGGAAGACTGGTATAATAGAAATTACAGAAACTTTGTTATATTTGTGGAATGTTGACGATAGGAATTATTTTGAAGTTTTAGGTTATTAGTTATTTAATAATGATAGACTTTCTCAAAGAGGTGGTGAGTTGACTCTTTATATAATGGATGAGCTGCAGCCTGTTAGGATTGAATACATAAAAAATGGTGATAAGGTTGAATCTGTATGGTTACAATCAGGGATTCTAAAGGTAGAAAGTTATGTAAAGGGCAATATTTATAGGTCACCTGATCACATAGAAGAGGTCAGTGACATGGTTTCCATGGTATTTTTAAAAACTCCTTAATTTTTATTTTTAAGGGCCCATAGATAGTACATAATTTTGTCTGAAGTTCCTTTTAATCCTTAAAGACTTCTTAGTTTCGTCAAAGGAATAATGTGCTATTTTCTCTTATTATTATGATTATTGAACAGTTCTATGTTATGATCAATGAAATGAAGTGTAAGGTACAACTGAGTCCCTGGCTGGTTTACACAGTAAGCGTATCATCGTCAGTGAGTGATTAGTTCACATCGTGTACAGTTAGTAACTGAACCTTTAACATCATAAACCAGATCTTTTGCTGTTGGTGTGTGTATGTTTCTTATCATTATAAAAAAGTCCAAAATGTCAGAGAAACAGTTTATAATCAGCTCTAGCAAGTGTAGGAACACTATTCGTTTTGGATTGTATTTTGTTGTGAAAAACGTAATGCATCGTATCAGTTGTGCAGCAAAGAATTCAAACACTTATATTTAAAGTGTTTGCATTTAGAATTTTGAAAGTCACAAACTAAATTTTCACTTCATCTAGCATGCAGCAAACCTTCAAACTTAATTACGCAGTAATCGCTTTTCCAGAAATGTTCCCTTACTTCAACTCTTTCAATCATATCTTTATTAGGGTTAGCAATAAATCTAAAATGACATTCTTTCTAGTTGGATTTCTGACAGTTTGGTAAAGAAAACCAGGATGAATCACTTTAGGGAATCTTTCTCCCCTTGCAATTTGACTCCATACAATCCCAGTCAATGTATCTAAAATTATTTTCCAATAATTAATGCATCAGTAATCTTGTTAATAGCAACCCTTATCTCATTATACAATTTTGTATTTACCTCATCTGTCTAATCAAGTGGCTTCTAGGTTTAATCGGTGGAAATGTATTGAATTTCTCAATTGAAGCAAACATTTCTGTTTGTAATACTCCTGTGTAAATAATTCCAGTTACTTTTACTAAACAACATATCCTCACAGAATACCAAATAGATAACTTAAGTGACATTTGGCATCATGCACCTAATATTTATTAAATAATTAATGGATTTGTAATTTATTCATCAGAGTATAAATATACAGTTTTTATTTCTCCAAACTTGGTACTTCTTAACATATGTACATAAAAAACGTTTTAGAAGAACAAGAATTGAAGAATGCCTGTGAAATATTGTAGAGATACATTAACTGGCTGTAATAAATAACATATTGTTTTATTTGTTGTTAAATACAATAAAATATTCTCATTATGTTATGCATTTTAGATATGGTGAAGATACTGAGAAAACTACTGGGTTTAACGAAAAAAGAACCCAGTTGCTAACTCAACTTGTGACTCAAGCCAAATTACGTAAGAAACATTATGAAGAATCTTCAGGTCTGTGTCAGAACTCAGAAGAACAAGAGTTGGATATTTCATCAGAAATAAAAGAAACTGAACCAAAAGATGAGCAAAATATTTTCCTTGAAATGCCAGAAGATACTTTAACATCAAATGACGTGAAAGATAAGGTAAAAAAGAAAAGAAAAAGACGAGATAATAGTATAGGTGAGGAGGTGTCAGAAAGACACATTTCAGAAAGTTTTATTGAAGAAAGTAAACCAGAAAGAATAATTTCCAAAAAACAGAAAATTACTAACGAGAAAGAGAAAAATGAAAAAGATGTTGAACTTCAGCAAGACATATCAAAAGAGGTGTTTGATGAATCAAGTAATGAGGTAACTAATACCAAAGATGACAATCTTTCAGAAGCATTTCCTGTCCTAGGTGAGGTCGAGAGGAAACAGAAAGAGAAAGTTCGACGTGTTTTACCTGATTGGCTAGCTAATCCAACTGTTATTACTGTTGATCTAAAAGATAAAGAAACAAAAGTTGATACCTTTTCTGGTCTTGATTCTCACCTGAAACAAAACCTAAAACATTCTGGCATACATCACTTCTTCCCAGTGCAGAAAGTGGTGATACCCTGGTTGTTGGGAAACTCTGTCCAACAGTACTGTTGTCGGCCACAGGATATTTGTGTTTCTGCTCCTACTGGTAGTGGAAAAACACTTGCCTTTGTTCTTCCAATCATTCAAGCTTTGAAAAGTCGAGTTGTTTGTCGTGTCCGGGCTCTGGCAGTCTTGCCTGTTCGTGACCTTGCCGCTCAAGTGTACAATGTCTTTTGCTCCTATTGCAAAGGAACATCTTTACGAGTTGGACTTGCTGTGGGACAGAAAACGTTTACCGAGGAACAAAAAACTTTAGTCAAGCAAGGTGTAAGAAATGTTACGAGTTTAGTAGATATTGTGGTGGCAACACCGGGAAGAATTGTTGATCATATTCAGAGAACTCCTGGTTTCTCCCTGGAGAGTCTTCGCTACCTGGTTATTGATGAAGCTGATCGTATGATGGAAGAAATTACTCATGGCTGGCTTGCTGCTGTTGAGAAAGCTGTTTTCAAGGTTTCCATGACTAGTAGAAATTGTCCTTGCACACTAGAGAACAACAAGAGAGCTTTGTCATCTTTTCCTCTTACTGCCTGCACATTTTCTCATATTTTGGAACCATTGCAAAAGCTTCTTTACTCAGCAACTTTATCTCAAGATCCTGAAAAACTTCAGCAGCTGACTTTATTTCAGCCAAAGCTCTTTACGTCAATCACAAAAACACCTGGATTGGATGTTTCTACAAACCAACATGAGAGAACAGGAGAGTTTGTTGGTAAATATACCACACCAGAGGAACTTAAAGAATATTATACCATTTGTGAGCCATCTATTAAACCTCTTGTTGTCTGGTATTTCTTGAAACACAAAGGTTTCAAAAAAGTTCTTTGTTTTACTGGTTCAGTGGAAAACACTCATCGGCTTTGTACTTTGCTGAAAGGTCTAGGTGGCGTGATGGTCCAAGAATTTTCTTCCGGTCTGCATTTGGTCAAACGAAAAAAATGTTTAAAGCAGTTTTCAAGCGGAAAGATAGATATTTTGGTTTGCTCTGATGCCATGGCCCGGGGAATTGATGTTGTAAATGTGGATTACGTTATTTCTTATGACCCTCCTATGTTTGTTAAAACGTACATCCACAGAGTGGGACGCACTGCAAGAGCTGGCAGAGAAGGTACAGCAATAACACTGTTGCAGAAAAAAGAAGTAAGAAATTTTCAAAAAATGCTGAAGTCTGCTGGAAAAGAGAGAGTACCAGAGTTAGAAGTGTGTCAGACTGATCTAGAATCATATAGAGAGAACTACAGAGCTGCCCTTAGTGCAACTTCAAAACTAATTGCTCAAGAAAATCAACAAAAGCAAGCATTAAAAAATCCAGGTCAGAAAAAGAAAATGAAACTAAAGAGAGTTCAGAACTTTAAGATGAATGGAAAGCAGATTAAAAGTTAGTTTCGTAACCACGATCTGCAGAACAGTTCTAGTGTAAACTCCAACTTCTGTAAAGGAATAGGAAAAAAACAAAGATGATAAATATTTTCAGAATGTAAAGAACGTTTATGTAATCAATGACTTTTTTTTTATAAAATATATTTTACAGTTCATGTAAAAAATGCCATCATATTAAAAAACAAAAAATGCAAGTTAATAAAGGTTAAGGCAGTGGAAAAAAAAAGTTTAGAATGTGTCCTATTATAAAGACAAGGAGGCAAAGCAACAAAAAAATGACAGCACCATTTATTTAAAAAATAGAATAGATGAGATAAAATAATTGAACTTGATGAAGAGCAACATTAAGGAAGAAAGAGTTAGTCAACTAACAAGCAGCTCATGCATGGTACGTTTCCTACACTCAGTGTGTAAGGTCTTTCAAACAAGCTGTATACATCTATGTAGTGTCCATTAGTTCAAATAAACACTGTAACATTTTCCTTAGGAAATAAAAATAATAACATAAAACCAAAATCACTACATCTTTTATTTATCAAGAAAAAAACTCCTATTTAGAAAAGTAATGGAGACAAACCTTTTTTGTTGGTACTAGATGACAAATGAAACCTTTTGTGTTTTGTTTGTTTTGGCAACCTGTTATTTCAGAAATTGTTATCAGCAGAGTGTAAAAACATGTCATTAGTCTTGCCTAGTTAGAAACTCAGATTTCACAATAATGACACTGATAAACTTGAGGCTGGGTCGTAAGATCACTGGCAGTTCACCAATAGGTTCAGTGCTAATAAGAGGCTTAGGAGGACTTGCCCCCCCCCCCCCATAAAGAATTATTTGAAGACAAGGTAGTATATTCTGAAACATTAAAATACACACAAGGTAGACAATTTTATGGTGTAGTTCTTCTAATGAGCTTTATTTACTTGATGTTAACAGCTTTTTCTGTATTACAAACATTTCTCCACTTTATTATTCTATGCAAGCTTCCTTATCACACTAACAGGTGGAGCTACAGACAAATTTCATCTAAATAAACTATAATTTCTTTACTTTTGCCTCTGTAGTAATATATGTATTTCAAACTCTATGAAAAAGGAACATTCATCAAATTTATTTCATAGAAATGGAGTTCTGTTACTTGTAAAGTTGACATTCAATTAACTGATGGACAGATGTAAGAAAACTTTTACAAAAGTTAATATACTTTTTAACACAATAATAGAACATTATATCTAGGGGGAAAATGTATTTTTATATCTGTTGACATCATTATGACATCCACCTGTACAAAGTATTGTAATAGGAACACATTCTCTTACATTAAACATGAAATGACTTGGCACTCAATTCACGATATGCGGGTCACAAGTTCTAATCCCCATCACTGAACATGCTTGCCCTTTCAGCAGTGGGGGCATTATAATGTGACTGTCAATCCCACTGTCCTTAGATAAAATAGTAACCAATAGTTGGTGATGGGTAATGTTGACTAGCTGCCTTCCCTCTTGTTTATCACTGCTAAATTTGGGACAGATAGTAATAGTGACGATATTACAATATAGACTATCCTACCAAAAGTCATAGGACATGGGTAGTTATGAATAAAACATGTCTTTATTCCAAGAAAAAAAAAAAAAAA